CCCCAAAACCCCAAAACCCCAAAACCCCAAAACCCCAAAAGCCAAGATTTAAGATAAACATTGTTATGAATAAATAAATTATCACATATACCATTAAGATAGAATTTAATTAAAGTTATGATCTTACGAATTGTTAGTACTATCATTCGTAATGTTTTATTAAGGTTTGCTTTATTTTCTCATATATTCCAAAGAATGCAAATCCTCCTACTCCTAGATACATCATTCTTATAGCAGCGCCTTTATAGAGCCCTTTAAGACCATCTTCATGATAAATTTCTTTTAAGATAGCACCTGTACTGGGCAACTTATCCTTTACATTAGTCGTCATTAATCTGGTCTTAGCTACATCGAAGGGAGTAACAATGAATCCAGAGAATGATCCTGCTATAGATCCATTTATTCCATTAACTAATGATGGAATCTCAACAATATTTTCATCTATGTTTTTTCTATAAGCTATTAGTTTGATCTGCATCATCTTTAATATCTCATAAAAAGGGAACTGAATTGAGCTAAACGGAATTTCTCTCATTATAAAAGAGAGATAGCCAGAATAGAAGCCAGCAAGAGACTTGTGCTTAAAAATATCAATACTGCATTCAATCATATTCTTATAATTTCCAACCTATAAGTTCTACTTGATAACTTCGAATGGATTCCTTATCAGTGCCTGACATATCTCACCAGTAGCAGCAGCTAGCATGTGCTGAACGTTTACATTCAATATTCCTGTTGCTAAAAACATATACTTAATCTAATATGCATTAATTACTATGCTGCTTCAGCTAATACTTGCTAAATTCATAAGAACACCAAAACATCGCTGCACATGGGAATGATGCTAGCATTGCACTAAAAAATCCTCTATACTTGCTCACACCTTTAGCTTATTAAGTATAGTCAATTTTTTTGTTAGAGGCCTATGATTAAGTCATCATGATATAATATTAGCTGTATTTACCTGAAGCCTAGTCTTTATAGAGTCAACTGGAAATAATGCAAAATCAATGGATATACCTGCAATACCGCCAGAAAGAGCTGAGACTAAAATATTTAAAATTACATTAATATTTATTTGTACTCATTGCATCTCTTAGGTTAAAGTGATGTGCACAAACTAAAGGATTATCTGCCATGATTTAATTTTAATCAAAATCATATTTTAAGCCACTAAATCAATTTAAAAGTTAAGTCTCAACTTTATAATTTATAATCATTATATTAATAAGTTAGGAGTTAGTTTCTTAAAAATAGAATTTATTATCAGAGGATGCTCAATATATAATTAAAACAAAAAGATTAACTTCAATCTAATAGGGAACCCTTAATTAGTTAAGCAACGATAATGGCAAAGGTAATAAGGTTTTCTATATATCTATCCTTTATTTGTTCTACAACTAATCCATGAACATTATAACTTAACACATGGAATTATAGGGAAGCAAACGAAGTAGATCTAGAGAAAGAGACGAGAGAAAAGAACACAAAAGAACGAGCTCAAGAAGTCCATAATAGCACAGAACATCCAGCTCAACAAATATTGGAGGTGACAAGTAAAACGGAGATAAAAGGAAGAAAGACTCAGGCAGAGACAGCAGTCGATCAAGGGTAAATTATAACTAAATCTAAATTTTATATTAGAGATCAGATTCACCAAGGAGAAGGACTAAGTTGTACATAAAAGACTTGCCAACTGAGATTACGGAAGAAATAATTAAGAATGAAGTTTAAATGTTAGCATTTTTATAGTGTTAAATTTTATTTTCAGCTTCGCTAAAGTGTCAGATTTCACAATGAGAAAAAGAGAAAAAGATGGCACTATTTAAGCTACAGTAACTATAAAAGGCGGTTAAAGGGATGGTGAAAAAGTCAAAGACTAATTGAATGAAAAGAAAAAGTGGGAAATCTAGGTCTAAGAGATTGAAAGCGAAAGAATAAGTTCAAGGTCAAGAGACAAGTAACGTGAAAGAGATCGCGAAAGAGAAAGGGAAAAAGATAGAATTAGAGAAAAAGAAAGAGAGCGTAAGAGAAGCCGCACAAGGAGTAAAGAGCGCAAACACAGAAGATCTACATCCTCATCAGAAAAGCGCAAAAAGAAGGATAATTAAGAGAGCGGGAAATCATCTCACCACAATCAAAGCTAACACCATAATCAATCAGATAGAAATATGTCGAAATCACATTCTCACAGCATTCATAGACAGAATTCAAGATCTGGAAATGAGAGTAGACAATAGAGAGACCTTGCTGGGAAAAGCAATGATGATTCAGTTACTGTGGTGGTTCAGCAGGCAGTTAAGCCAAGAAGTGATGTTAGAGTTAGAGAACTGTGGTTAGGAAATCTTCCAGAAAATATCACTGAGAAAGTTCTTTATTCTCATTTCTTTATCTACGGTGACATTGAAAAGATTGAGTTAAATTAACATAAAAGTTATCCCTATTATGCGTTCGTCAGATTTAAGCTCACTAGTTGTACTAGTAGAGCTTATGACTAATCTTCAAACTAGCTGGAGATTAATGGTTTCAAGATAAAAGTCCAATTTTCTGACTATAACAAGAGACCTGAAATAGTAGGAGATCTGGCTGGATATGATTGCACCTTTTAGAACTGTACAACACTTTTTGTCGCTTTCATTGTCAATTCTTAACTTCCATCACAAGAAAAGTTAGAGGAAGTATTCTAAAAATATGGTAAAGTGAGAGCTATATATATGAAGCAAACCAGTCCTAATACTTAGTACAGACCCCATGCCTTCATTGACTATTATGACCATGTAATTATTTCTATTGCTCACAAATATTTTATAGGAAGATGCAAAGAAAGCTAAGGAGGATATGGATAAGTTTGGTTCAATTAGACTATAACTAAGCGATTAAAGCTGCGAAGTGCTTTTTGCAATAAAAAAGAGATGCAAAGACTTTAATAGTCCGCACACTGGCTAATAAAACTAGTAATCGTACCAAACAGTGTAAAATAATGTCCCAATACCACATAGCACAATTTCATAAGCTCAAATTTAACCTAATTAGCATTCAGTTCAAAACTCGTAGGAGGCCTAATAGCTAATTATGACTCTTTAGCAAAGTCCAGACTGTAAATTAAACAATTTTTAATATATTATAGTCTAAAAGATTATGCAAACTAATCCTTAAATTGCCTAAACTCTGATAAATTAAGTTCACTCTGAACCTGGCAATGCAAAAGCTATCATTTCAAATTTTATTACATAGCTAAGCTAAGGAAAGATGATAAATTTCGAGTAGCCTAATTAGCAAATAATGGGGAACTTTCCTATGTACCAGAATAATAATTATAGACAAGCATATCCAAACTAGATGATGCCAAATTATTAGTAGTAATATCGTTAATAATTCAACAATAACTACATGCAATAAAGGCCAATGATGATGAATCAATAAAATCAAATGATGGGAATAAATCCAAACATGTACAGGGCTAATATGTATCAAAATAATCCCATTAATACATTTGGAGCAAATAATCCAACACAAATTAGACCTATGGGGGGAACTTAAACATTGAATTAAAACTTTATGGGCGTATAATCATAGCCAGTAATATATAAAACATATTAATTATTCATTTATAGATTAATGATTAAAACGCTCTAAATCAGTTAGCTTCACCAATGCAGAATCCTTTACTTGCAGGTCTTCAAAATGAAAACTCGAATCAAGCATCAATCTCCAATCAGTCTGATTAATCTCAATAGATGCTCTCAAATCTGATTAATATGATTAAGCCCTCAGTGAAAGGTCCAGCAGCGGCAACATCCAACTCAAACGCTGGAAATCCTGAGTTGCAATCCCTTAATCCTCAATCTAATATTATGCCGAATAATATGATCGGTATAAATTAACCACCCGTTATAAATCGACTCCCCTACCAAAATGTCTTAACTCCTACATCATCAGCAGTCAATATGAATGCACCTGCCTAAGGAGGATATGGAGCTAATTCAAGCGTCATTCCAACTGCTAATAGCAATAACACCAAGGAGATCAATGATATTGTTGCATTAATTGTAAACTACTACTTCTATAACTCTACTTATTATGATTTTAATTTTTCCCATAAAAATTTACTTATTCATAAATATAGAAATAAAATCGAGAGCGGTAGAGAGAGCAAGAGGAGCAACAACGATAACAGTAGCAGGAATAAGATAAGAAAACATAACAAACTGATAATAGAAATGAAAACTAAACTAAGAAGCCAATATGTGTATTGGATGATGATGAATAATGCATTTGGAGCGGGTAAGTAATCTCTGAAATTCGAACTAAATCACTTCACTTCCATATTATCATTTATTTTTTAGATTATCTGTTAAAATTTAAAATATAGATTTATCACTAGAAATAAACAGTTTAGAGTTGGAGTTGACGCTTACAGAATAAGCGGAGATCATAATGAAGAATTTTTGAATGAGTATAACTTAAACGTATCTCATAGAACCAATTTTGAAGATATCGAAAAGTACAAAATTTAAGGGTATGCATTTGATTTTCCCTAATCGCATTATTTTAGTATCGTAGCACTAACTGCTCAGAATGATACACAGCAAGATACCTTCAATGAGCATATTCAATATTTCCAGCAGAAGGATAGAGTAATTCAACAATAAACTCTTTATAATGAAATATAGATTGGAATGGTGCACTTAAAGAACGGTCTAATGTTCTTAGTTCCACCAAGCTAAGCGTCGAAGAAGTATTTTTGGGATGAAAGAAGCCACATGCTAGGAATATTTATAGACTCTTAATCAGCTCAAATTTAGATCGCTAAGTTCAGTAATAGTTACTCTGGTTTCGGGAAATGAAGTAAATAGTATCAAAGCTTGCTGAAAGTCATGTCGTAGCTTTTTATATTCGGGTATATAGAGATACTCTATTACTATATAAACTCATATTCTCATGATACATGTTTAGATTAAAAATTTCGATTTTACTTTTCTTAATTCTCTCATTTTGATTATTTACTTATTATGGGGTTTTGGGGTTTTGGGGTTTTGGGG